AATTCTAACAAAGCAACACGACTATGTGACAGGAAATTCATGATAATGACTTTTCAGCTACTTGACTCTTCCGAGTAATATGACCTGCGTACTTCACATCTGTAGGACCAAATGTCCCCCTAACAAAAGACTCTGATACACCAGGTTATCTTTGTTAACTGTATGAAATATAGTTCCTAGACAGTCCCCAGACATAGTGACAAACAAAACCTAAATTAACATATGAAGAGTGCTTTCCAGATTTCCGAAAGATAAATTAGATAAAAAACAAACCTGCAATCTGATAAAGCCTTCAAATATTCTTGCATATGAATGTAACACAAAGCTCGATTTGAGTAGTACGAAGATATATTTGGCTGCTTAGCAATAGCTTGTGTATAGCATTGAACTGCCTGGTTGTATTGGCACGAAATAAACAACTGATTCCCCATATCCTTTAGAGATTGATGAGACATAGTAGAAGTATCGGAATTTCTTACGTTTGCCATCATGAAGTCCTCTTATGGGCAAGGATTGTAATATACGGTTTGAATCAGAAATAAATCACCAATACCAAATTAATTGGGACTCTGCTACTCAAGAAAAAGCATACATATAAACAGGAATAAAGAATATAGCAATTAGCGAAGCATAACCAAAATACATGAAATTTCGCTTCTGCAAAGCAATATGGTGTGCTACTAATAGTTGTGTCAGCTGAGGCATGAACTATAGACATAAAGCAGCTTCCAACTGCGGCGAGAGTAAAGTGGAACCAACTGATTCTACTTGGTTAGTGCCAAAAAATAGGAAGCTCAAGAGTTATAGGAAAGAGAAAAGCACTGTGCTTAGTGGTAAGGTTTCAACGGCCGTAAACACTAATAAGATTGTTAAACCTTCGTACTCGAATTACAGTATAGTAATTTGGAACTTGGAAGAATCGAAGGTAGATCCAGCTGCTCGACATGCTGATGATTTCGAGATAGTTAGTTCCATCATCCGTGAAATACTTCCAGAAAAAACAAATGGAGTTCACACAAGGAAAGTCATCAGAATCGGTAAACGAATCGCCGATGCAACAGAAAGTTCCCCATGTCTGCTGAGGATAGTACTGGGGAACGAGATGGAGAAAAGTATTATTCTCAACAACACATTCAAGATCAAGGATATTAAGGTGAGAATTAGACCAGATTGGTCTCAGGAGAGGCTGCCGAGTCAGACGAAACAAAAGCTGAGAAGCTCTCCAAGCACTTTTGTGATGTTTTCTCGTCTAATCGTACCACTCAGGGGTGTAGCAAGGTAACTGATGTAGCCCCTAAAATGCCCCCAATTGTGGTAGATGATGAAATGCTTCTGGGGTCACCACAAGAAGGTGCTCACACCGAGGTCGAATAAAATATGTGTGGAGTTTAGATTCTCTCTCTACGACTGGAACTCTTTCATGATTCAGTAGTAACAGCTCCATCGGTGAAAGCTTTCAAAGAGAAACTTGATCTCTGCAGAGATATATATCGCGAGGATTAACTTAGGCAACAAGATCCTTCTATCCTTATAATCTGAATCTTATCATCTCTTCGAATAATAGCTATTCACTTTCATTCACTGTATTATAATAAATTTCGATTTATATCTGCTTAAGACAGCTTTGGTGTTTATTAGATGATCTGAATACTCACCTGCGGCCTACTCACTTTTCCGTCAACTATTTATCTAAAGTGACATTGATGAACACAGCATATAAGCGACTATCAAAGAGGAGAGTGTGAAAATTTTGTGTTAGCAAACAACAAGGCCAATAACAGACATACCGAGCTGCTGTAATCCGGCGTGAAATCACGACGAGAATGACTACAGACAGTCTTCAGTTGCTTCCAGCTGGCGCAACTCCTATTGGCCCAGTCTCCTGTTGCACGTGACAGAATCCGTTAAAAGCAACTACCACCAGTAGGGCTTGATCATTCAGCATATAGGTTGAATTTCTAGTTGGTAAACATTTTATTTTAAATAATTTTCATTGAAATATGTATAACACGTCTGGATTGCTGAAAGCTGTAACTCACCTAGATGTCAGATTCGCGTACGTTTCACGTGATCTGACAGCCAGATGCGTCATTTCACAGCGTGTTTGCACAGGTAGTAATGATCGTATGTTCAAATGTGTCTCTTAAGCAGATTCAATATATAACTGCACTGAGTTATGTACAGTAATATGCGCTAAATGGATTCAGTGTATGAAGAATTCTCTCAGTGTAGGGGCATTTTCTGCTTATCTGTTAGATAGGCTAGTAAATGTAGGTAATTCTTCTGGTTGTTGCAAGCTCAATGGAACTGAAGGGGTAATTTCTCTTTTAAATTGTAATAATGTGTTATTCGTTGCACTAATTCAAAATGTGGCATTAATAGGTAAATAAGTTGTTCCCAGGAAATATGACCGTAAGTGCACTCGTAACAATCCTACACATACACTTTCAACTGTAAATTTACTTTCAAATAATCCATTATTTATAAGTTCACCTAGTAAAGTACACAATGACTACTATTTTAACAGCTTTAAGGTGCCTTCAGATTGTGGATGAGTCAAATGGGCAATCAACGTATGACGTGCAATACACGTAGTTTGTGCCACATCGATAAAAGCTCTTTAGCAGGCATTCTTTTGTTGACCTCATAAAATAATATCATGTTCACCTTCGTTTCTCTATAACGTCTTGTCACTTCACTGGTGCACCGTTTACTCAGATTTGGTTTCCAAAAGAAGGTGCACTCACCACATATTCACACCTTGAAAGTGATTCACCCTCGTTTGATTTACATTCCTTCACATTACTACAGGCGTCTGATAATAGATGCATTTTTGCCATACTCAACTTCTGGAATAGTTTCAAAGCTTTTTAGCTTCAACCAAAATTATTAATTCTCTGGATCCTATGAGTCCTACGAAGGCCTTGCTCTAACTACGCTTTTCCCACCTGTATTGCTAGTTAATGATTGCATACTACAAGTAGCAACACGAAAGGCACTGCTTTTTCCAGATTTCACAATATTAAGTAACCGTCTGAATCAGCAACAGTAACATCAACCGACAAAAGAACTGGAAACCAGAGCTCTTTTCGGCCGAAACGTATTCGTACGCATAATTTCCCAACCTTCCGCATGACAGTGGTTCGTTAATAGTCGGAAAACCAAAAGACGGATGCAACAATGCATGAAAGCAACGTAAGAAACAATTACAATGAGATGATCAAATTGATTTAGTCAAAGAAACTTTCGAAAAAACCAAATAACTGATTCTAACTGAATTGAAAGACAACAGGATATCAAATGCAGCGTTACCGAATAATCTACGTTCAGATTCATTACAGATAATTGCCGCGAAAACACCGAAACAGTGTTAACGAGGGATTAGAGCATAGCAATCCAATGTGTCCTTCAGAAATGGATAAAAATGATCAGGACAAAGAACTGGAGTCGCATTTTTCAGTGAACAGCCTTGGACGCGCCGGGTAATTTCAATCCTCGTTAGTGATATCCGGCGACGTCATACTGACCCACGTAGTCTAAAACACCATTCGAAACATGCTAGGGGGTGAATGCCAAATACGAAAGATGCTGTTGTTAGAGTAGTTTGGTCGGAAACGCTGGCGATGCTGCTACAACAGAGTAAAATTTGGTGAGTCAATCCCTAATTCGTCACATTTTGATGCCCCTATTTATGCATAAGAGGTTGGCAAACGAAGTGAATGAGTCACTTCTTGTTGACACAGGGGCACCATCCGCAGAGGGTCTTTGCAGCAGGTGGAGGAAAGCCCCTGAGAGCCTTGGATGTTTTCCTTCCCATCTGCAGTAGCCATATGAACACAACCCCAGTAGTACATGTGGCTATGGGTAAGCTATTCGTTTTATTTGAATTTTCTCTGGAACCACGAGTTGTTTTACCACTATTACGAAGAGATATTTTTAGTATTCCCAACTGTAGAGAAAGTATGCAAACTGGCAGGATTGCCACTTAGATTATCTGCTGCCCTTGACAATCCCTTGCGGCGAAATTATGTTTAAATTAAGATAAATCACATGGAATTCATTTCTAAGTACGAAAAACCACAGCTCTAGTGGTAATAATAGATGTTACCGGACTGATTTGAAATGACTCCTCTCCTCCGCTGTAACTCAAATTTTCCTTATATAAGGGTGCTTCTTAAGTAGTTCTTTATTAAACAATCAGAGAAATAGGAGCGACTCTGACACAAGGTATGAATACACACCATCAGGTTCTAGATGGAATTTATTCGATTCTTCTTCAGAAGAAAACATCGCCAAGATTCCTAGGTCACTAGTATTCTAGCCGGTCCCAAGCCCGGATAAAGAGGGAGGGTTGGGGCGTGGTGCTAGCAACTCCACCCCCAAAACTTAACCAAATTGCTACTAAAACTTCAACGCACAAATATATTAAAAATTCTAAAAATACAAACAATAAACTTATTTTTCTCTGGAATCGGGGAAGTGAAATGACGCAGGCTGGTGAAAGCCTTCGGGAAGCCAGTCAGCCGATGTGAATTCTTTCGATGAAAGCGAAAATAAGGATGGGGACGTGGAATATTCGTACAATGTACGAAACTGGAAAGGCTGCTCAGGTAGCCGAAGAAATGAGGAGATATAAAATAGAAGTGTCGGGAATCTGCGAGACCAGATGGAACGGATGCGGAAGGTGCAAACTACCAACTGGAGAGACAATAATCTACTCCGGTCACCCAGAGGACGATCACGAGCACACCGAGGGAGTAGCCATCATGATGTCACCAACAGCAGCTAAAGCTCTCATGCAGTGGGAACCAATCTCCTCCAGGATAATGACAGCCAGGTTCAACTCAAAAGGAAAAAAGGTTACAATCATTCGATGCTACGCGCCTACAAACGTCTCAGAAAAAGAGAAGAAGGAGGATTTCTACAGTCAACTACAAACAGTAATGGACAACGTCCCAAAGAGCGATATCAAAATCCCGATGGGTGACATGAATGCGAAACTGGGAGGAGACAATACAGGAAGAGAACTCACCATGGGTCGTGAGGCCCTCGGTGAAATGAACGAAAATGGTGAACTCTCCTTAGACTTCTGCGCCTTCAATGATTTGGTGATTGGTGGCAGTGTGTTCAAACACAAGGATATACACAAGGCAACATGGATTTCACCAGATGGACACACCGAAAACCAGATAGACTTCATTTCAATCTCAAGGAAGTGGAGACGGAGCCTACTGGACACAAGATCGAGGAGAGGAGCAGATGTGGGTTCAGACCACTATCTAGTACAAGGGACTTTCAAGGTGAAGCTGAAAGCCTCGAGGATACCTGGGGATAGGCCACAATGCAAGTTCAACACGCAAAAACTGAAGGACACAATCACACAGGACATTTTCACTGCAACTGTCAGAGCAAAGCAGGAAACACTACGTGGCACCACTGAGGAATCATCCGTGGAAGACCACTGGAACTCTCTGAAGGTAATTTTCAACGAAACGTGTTCAACGGTTTTAGGAAGAAAGAAGAAACAAGACAAGGAATGGCTCTCAACGGACATTTGGAAGCTAATAGAGAAGAGGAGAATGGTGAAAGAGAAAATGATTCAATGCAAAGATGGACAAGAGAAAGAGACGCGGAGCTCAACTTACACAGCACTGGACAAAGAAGTGAAGAAGAGCGCCAGGAAGGACAAAAGACAATTCTACGACAACCTGGCTACTGAAGCTGAGAAGGCAGCAGGCAAAAGGGACCTGAGGACACTATATCAGATAACCAAGTCTCTATCCGGGAAGAGATCAACACAAGTGAAACCTATAAAAGACAGTCAAGGGAACCCAATTACCAAAGAAGAAAGACAGATTAAACAATGGGCGGACCACTTCAAAGGACTCTTGAACCGACCACCACCTACAACCCGTCCAGAAATACTAACAACAGCACGTACACAACTGCAAGTTGACACCAATCCTCCAACGAAAACTGAAGTCATGAATGCAATCAAGCTTCTGAAAGCTGGAAAAGCAGCCGGACCAGATGGAATACCCCCTGAAGCACTGAAAACGGACGCGGAGACAGCAGCAGATATGCTGACTCTATTATTGCAAAAGGTCTGGAAGGAGGGAAAGGTGCCTACTGACTGGAGGAAAGGTTACCTAGTGAAACTACCAAAGAAGGGCGACTTAGGCCTCACTCTGCAAGAACTGGCGAGGAATCATGCTCCTGTCGACGCCAAGTAAAATCCTGAGTCGCATCATCCTGGAGAGAATAAAGGACGCACTGGATACAGAACTCCGACCAGAACAAGCTGGATTCAGGAAAGGCAAATCATGTTCTGACCAAGTTACAACTCTACGTATCATCATCGAACAAAGCATGGAATGGCAATCAAAGCTCTACCTCAACTTTATAGACCTTGAGAAGACCTTCGACAGCGTTGGCCACGAAGTAATTTGGAAGCTACTCGAGTACTACGGCGTACCCCAAATATTCATCAATCTTATTCAACAGCTGTACGACAACGGCACATGTCAAGTGATCCACAACGGAAAACTCAGCGAAGCGTTTGGAGTAAACACAGGAGTCAGACAAGGATGCTTATTATCACCAATGATATTCCTAATTGTGGTGGACTGGATTATGCGTCAGACAGTGGGAAACGAGAAGACAAGGATATCCTGGACCGACGTGAAGAACCTAGAAGACCTGGATTTCGCGCGTGGATGATTTATATTTGATGTCACACAAAGTCGAAGACTTACAAGCGAAAACCGACAAACTGGTCGAAGAAGCAGCAAAGACAGGACTGCAGGTGAACATAGACAAGACGGAGGTTATGAAAATAACCAACCAACAACAACAACAGCAGCAGCAACATCCAGCGCCAATCACCATCAACGGGAGGGATTTGAAAGAGGTTACTTCATTCACTTATCTAGGGAGCATTGTCTCAACGACAGGAGGAACGGACGAGGATGTCAAATCGAGAATCGGGAAGGCGACAAACACATTCATCAACCTGAAACCAATCTGGAAATCTTCGTTACTCAGCATCAACAACAAAATTCGGATTTTCAATACAAACGTCAAGTCACTTTTGCTATACGGATCAGAAACTTGGCGGGTCACAAAGAATATTTCCAACAGGTTGCAGACATTTATCAACAACTGTCTTCGCTCTATACTGAAGATCAGATGGCCGGAAAGAATCACAAACAAGAAGCAATGGGAACAAACAAAACAAGGACCAATCGCTCAACAAATATGCAGGAGAAAGTGGAGATGGATTGGACACTCGCTGAGGAGGCCGTTGGGTGACATCGCGCGTCAGGTCCTCGAGTGGAACCCGAAAGGGAAGCGGCGAGTGGGACGTCCAAGGGTGACATGGAGGAGATCGTGTGAAGAGGAACTGAGACAGTATGGATTAACATGGATGCAAGTGAAAAGTACAGCACAAGACAGAAGCAAGTGGAGGCGTGCAGTTGAAGCCCTATGTTCCACTAGGAACCCAAAGGAACAATAATAATAATTCTTCAGATTAAAAGCGTGTTTCCACTGCAAATAGGAGAAACTACGTTGACTAAGTAGGTAATTTTCAGTCGTTTTTCGAGATAGGCTGTCGGTGTTAATATTGACTAGATGTCTAATGAACGGTCAAATTCACTCCGGTTTCGTTTCCCTCGGAACTTACATTCATTGATGTGGCCTAGTTTCTTGCTCTCCCACAGAAGCCTGGAGCAATACGATCAGAAGTACTATTGTGGGTTATGCTGGTGTTCATTCACAGACTCGGAGGCTGCAATGTTTCTCACCTGTAACTTTTGGTACTGTAATCATTTGTGCCGTAACTGCCTTTTCATGATGGTTTATTGTCAGTGGGAAATGAACAGTCCTCAAATCGCCAGCCATCTTTTGACATTTTCGAGTTAGTTACAGCTCACAGTATTTTGAGTTGTGTCTATAAACCTTCCGGCAACAGCAGCAGCCTCGGATTCCATGGGCTGAGTCTTCGAAACAGGAAAACTTACAGTCTCACAGTGGACTCAGATAACTGGACAGTTCATCACTGTGTAAAACCATATGCCTTTGTTCTGTATATCAGTGACTGTGTATTTTTGATTCAGAAAATAAATTCGGAGAGCCTCAGAATCGAGGTTGGTTTACCCAATGTTGTAACATAATTCCTCCTAGGTAGGAGACATACTGTCAGGGTCAGCTCCAAACTCTGCTCCTGGACAGTGGCACGTAATGGAGGGCTACAAGGCACCCCAATCAGGCCCCTCATACTTATCTTTTATATCATTGGGATTCCTTTGCCCGCCGAATTCCCTATACTCCCATATGCAGTTGACTTGAAAATCTGAGGAGAGCTAAAAGGCAATAGTGACATGCTCATGCTGCAATAAGATATCAGCGAACTGTTAGATTGGTCCGATTAGTAAATGCTTCCAATCAACGTGATCAAGTGCATAAACATGCGCACTGGATATGCAAGCTTCGGCTCATGCGAATTAGAAGGAATAACACTACTCTTAGTGCATAACTTCATGGTTCTGGTTGTCGCAGTAGGCATGACATAAACGTCGGCACACTGTCGTATGGTCCTGGCTCGAAATTTCCGATATTTCTAGGCCGTACACCGAGCACCTATTAGAATCACTATAAATATATCCGCTTCTTTAAATTCATATCTAGATTGGTCAAAACTGGAAAACTCTATGCAGGCGGCCGGTTCCTGTATTGAGGGAGATTATGAATGATTGATAATAATATATTTACTCCGATTTACGCAGGAACATGTTAATTGTACGGACATGGGCAAGCTATTATTTAAATTACACAATTTTGGGTGATAGTGAACGTATATGATTGCCGTTCTTTTCAACTTTAGCCAGTTAGAGCAGTCTGCCAGTGAGTGTAGCACGTTAAGAAACAAGACAATGTTATCTTTCGACGAACAAAACACCCGGGATTGTACTAGATGGGTCACAAGCAACAAGGGAAAAATAAACCTTGTACTCAGTTATCCTATATAACTCTCCTGTGTGCGGCATCACATCTTATTCTTGAAATAACGAAAATCTGCTGACAGATGAATTTCAGATCCCACTGACTCATTCGATGGTAAAATTCTGCTCCTGCATGCCTCTTTCCACATTTTTGTATAGATCGGTTCACAGTTACTCAGGTTCCAGACCGAAAAGAATCAAAAATTATCCCGTTGCTGAATTATTAATACTTCTCTGCATGTTTAACTGGATAATAACTGCTGTGGTGAGCCTTTTGCATATTATATTGCTTAAAATATCGTTTACGGTAAACTTACTAACGTTTTTAAGCCATTTTTTATACTTTTGTGAGTAGCCCACCTTATCGACCGAATTTAACGCAACACTCAGTTGTTTCGCTCATTTTCAACAAATTCGAACAATAATGGTGCCTAGGATTATGCCACATAAACTGTTTTAACTTATGCAGAGTATACTTACGGTCAATATTCCATTATCTTCCCTTGTATATATATCTTGTGTTAGTGAAAAATTTTAAACATGTTTACTCCATGTGTGCATTATTATCATATTGATAATGCCTGTCAACTGGAGTCCATCATGTGCATAAATTGGGAATATATTATTACAAGACGCATTTTATTGTTTTATGAGGGAATTGACTTCAAGCTTTATTTATGTTCCCAAGTATCTGTAATCCATCCAACGCATACTTGGGTTTATTTGTTAATGCGAAGTCAATACGTCTATATTTCTTGATGTGTTCCATTGAATCACAGGTGATTTGGTTTTTTTCACCAACTAAAGATAAAAAGACAGCAACCATGTTATTTAACCGAAATCCATGTAATTTACATATGTAACTTAAATAATACTTATCCATGCCTATACAACTTGTGTGTCTTACATTTATAGGAATAAATATATACCTTATTACATTATCATTACTAACTATACTTACTAATCGTATGTGTAATTTATCGAATTGATGATGCCTGGAAACTGGCGTCCCTCATGTACAAAAATGAGAATATGCTATTATTATGTGTAGTCAGATGGTGTACTAATTTAAAATGAGTAATATATTTGTATCATTTTGTCAGTGGTGCCACTCTCGGGTAACATCAGAAGTAAACTGTATTTAGTGTAGAAGAATATCGGATATGGCCGAGTGGGGGTATTTTATTGCATCAGGCAGATGAGAGTCCTATAAAGCCGGCTTTAACCGCCGCTCGTAGTTACATTATAGTCTTCCTTTTTCAGTAATGTTCTACCTTTTGCATGGAAAAACATTAAAATTATCCCTATACCAAAACAATCTTCTGGTACTGGAGGTGGGAGGGTGGTGATTGCTAGTCAGCGGATATGATGGTGGGGACATATGAGAACCACCCTTATCTGTGGGACAGCACTCTATTGCTAAGGCTCCTGAGTTCGAATGGCTTCTGCAAAATAAGAGAATAGATAAAATTTTAAAAAATTTTAAAAAAGAAAACAGAAGTTGAAAATTCGCCTAAAGCTGAAGTTTAAATAACAAACTCCCCGAATGCAAGTACATGGTATGAGTCCCCTACTTCAGAAGGACACCTAAATGTATACTTCAGAAAAGCAGTAGTTATTACTAAGCCCTTGCTTTTTTTCTACATAGTTCACGCACTTTGACTTTTGTGTTTAACTCATATTCAACCTATATAAGTAGGTAAAATTATCACCTTTTTTCACTTAAACATTTTTTTCTTTTCGCAAGAAAGACTAGAATTCCATCACTAGAAAATCCCAGGGGGAAATAGTATCTTTTTAATGAAAAAAACAACAACAAAAATGATGAACCCCATGTTTGTTATATATATATTTTGAATTATTAACACCTATTATATACTTCTGCGCCTCTCTGGCGGTTTTCTTGTGTCTGCTTCTCTTTTCAAAGGTACTGCCTTAAACGAAGGCACTGAAACAGTGCCGCTATCCTCAACCAATTCGGAATCTTGCTAGCCCACCTAGTGAATAACGGAACCACCTCTATCATGAAATCTACTGACAAGTTCAAAGTTGGTCTCATATACAACTGGAAATGTCACAATTATGGTGTACTTACCGGTGACTTTGAAGTTTTATGGACTTTCAAACACTCTATGAATCATTTACTTACAATCACTGTTCATTCCGCATCTCTTATATTTCACGTCAGCACCTGTACAAAAAATGCTACTTACCTTCCACAATTAACGTAATCGTTTGTAATTCCCGCGTGAAATTGACATCCCGTATTTTTTTCAATTACATTTTTGATTTGATGCTATATCTCATGAATTATTCAGTTGAAAGCATATCTCGAGAATTACCTATTGCCTTATTTGTACATTTCCCTTTAAATATTTCTCTCGAATTTACCAGTATTCAATCTATT